GGACATCCATAGGCCAAAATGTGCATCTAGACATAGACTTTGTACCTTTTGCAAAAATTAACTCAAAATGGATCATAAACCTAAATGTAAAGCAGAAAGCTATAAAATTTCTAGAAGATAACATAGGAGAAAGTTTAGATAACTTTGAGTTTGGTGATGCCTTCTTAGATACAACTACAAAGGCATAATCCATGGGAAAAAATGGGTAAATTGGATTTCATTAAAATTAAAAACTTCTACTCTGCAAAAGACACTATCAAGAGAATGCGGAGACAAGCCACAAACTGGAAGAAAATATTTTCAAAAATACATCTGATAAAGGACTGTTATTTAAATTATATAAAGAAATTTTAAAATGCAACAATAAGAAAATGAACAACCCAGTTAATAAATGGGCAAAAATTCTGAACAGACACCTCACCAAAGATGGTATACAGGTAGCAAAAAGGTATATAAAGACATGATCAATGGGATTTCCCTGGTGGTCCAGTGGTAAATAATCTGCCTTCCAATGCAGGGGACGCAGGTTCGATCCCTGGTTGGGGAACTAGGTTCCCACCTGTGCACAGAGAAAGAGAGATACCAAAGACCTAGAGAGTTCCATCCTAATCTTTCAGTTAAGTCCTGTTCTTTATTAGACAGTGACCCTTTGAGGGGGTCATTAGCCCTAAATCTGCCAAGACCAAGGCACAGCTATGAACTCTGGGCTAAGGTTTGCCCAAATCCCAGCACAGTTCCTAGTGAGAAGCAGGATTATACTGGATGGCACATGAAAAAACGAAATTCTCCACCTGCAGTGAATGAGGTGTCCCTTTTTGATGCCATCACCAGCATTTTTCTTGCAGAAGTTCCAGTGAATGATACTGGGGTGGAGGTGTGGGAAGCTGTATTATTTATACATAAATCCAAGCTGGTGTGGCAGTGAAAAGAATTACCTTTCTCCTCAGTGTAAAATAAGCCTCCTCTCTTCATTGTAGCTTTAATTTTGAAGGGAAAGGAAGTTATTAATTAACAAAAGTTAATGCTTTTAATTAAGCATTTGTTCTATATTCACATGCGCACACAAATTTGCATAAAGATATAACTAAATCTGCTGAGAGTATAATAGAAGCTTTGTTTTGCTATGTAGAGAGCACAACTGATCACAAGAATTAAACCAAAATTGGTCAAGATATTTAGTACATATTCTTGAGTACATCTAATATCTGTATTACACAATACAGTAAATAACTTTATTTTTGCCAATAAAATTTAGCTTAACCCTTCTTTAAATTTCTATCACCGATAAAAGTCAGACAACAAATTTAATAATAATTTTTTTTTGCGGAGCACAGGCTCCGGATGCGCAGGCTCAGCGGTCATGGCTCACGGGCCTAGCCGCTCTGCGGCATGTGGGATCTTCCCGGATCGGGGCACGAACCCGTGTCCCCTTCATCGGCAGGCGGACTCTCAACCACTGCGCCACCAGGGAAGCCCAATAATAATTTTTAAAATGTCATTTTTTCCAAAATTTACTTTAAAGATTATCTTAATTTTAATCTCCTAGCAACTCTGAAGAAAAAGCGTTTTTCTTATTAACTAACTGAGCTTTCGAGAGATTCGCATGTATAGCTCTTATTAAACACATTGATAATAATAATAGCTTAAGCTCTATCTCAGCAGCTTACTCTTGGACAGGTACCAAGAGTATAGATGATGCTGTCAAAGATGAGTCAGAAAATAAAAGGATTTCAGAGCTGTAGAAAACAGTAAATATCTGCCTGGATGAATGGTAGAGCACATATTTGCATTATGGTGGCCATTCACCAAGAGGCACAAGGGCATTCTGCCTCACTTGCTTTTATTGGCTGAGAGCCTAAGGAGCATTCAGAACATTAAAAATGTAAACAGTGCACTAAAATATATTGTATTATATGTAGATGAATAATTTGTGTCTATATATATCCATATTTACATTTTAATGCATGTATATAAATTGATATGTATGTTTTCTTTTTCTCTCCAGTCCTAAGCAAACACCAGTCTACTTTCTGTCTCTATAGGTTTCCCTATCTAGATTTTCATATGAATAGGATCATATAATACATGGACTTTTGTGGCTGACTTCTTTCACTTAGCATGTTTTCAAGGTTCATCCAAGTCACAGCATGTAACAGTATTTCATTCCTTTTCATGGCCCAATAATATTCCACTGCACTATATTTTGTTTATTCATTCATCCACTGATAGACAGTTGGATTGTTTTTGGCTTTTGACTATTTTGAATAATGTCGCTATATGTGCAAGTTTTTGTGTGGGCACAGGTCATCATTTCTCTTGGATATATATGTAGGGGTGGAATTGCTGGGTCATATGGTAACTCTAGTTAATCATTTGAGGAACTGCTAGACCATTTTTCAAATTGTCTGCATCCTTCTACATTCCCACCAGCAATATATGAAGTTTCCCATTTCTCCACATCCTAGCTTGGATATACCTTTAAACAATATTGCTTTGCTAAGAATGGTGGAATAGAAGGAGAGGAGGGCAACACCCCGAGGACCTAGTAGAGGCCACACAGCCTTGGACAGCCTACTTTCCAATTCTTTTAAAGTGCGAGAAAATAATCTCTATCTCATTTAATCCACTGTTATTCTGGGTCTCTGTTAATGGCAGCCTAACACAATTCCTAATTCATGTGGTCCTGTTAACACATCTGGAAACTGGGAAGCCCTCAAAAAACTCATTGAATATGTATGGATTTTTTCTGTGGAAAAGTTTCTTTGTGATCCTGTTACACTCTGGAAAATGCACATTATTTCTTTCACAATTTAAGATTCCATCATTCAATAGCCGTTCTCTTCTTAGGAATTGTTTCCGGTTCTCACTAGCACATTGTGGGTGCTCTGCAAGATTAAAACAACAACTTGATACCCAGAAACAATGGAAGTGTTATAGATGGAGCAGTTTTTTAAATGGGAAGGAAAAGTACTCACTGTGGCGATGTAGGATGAGCACCAGTTTATTATTTCTTCCCTCAAGTATTATCCCAAATGTTAGGACAACACAAATAATGATGAAAAGTCATTTAAAGCTTTATCTTAAACTCTAGGAGCCCAAGGAATCTCAGTGCCATGTTGACTAGACAGTATCACATGTCTGTTCACTTTTAGACATTGTCTTAGAAACCACTTTTAGCCTCCATGATAGGTTATTAGACTCATGGCCCAGGTTTCCACCTTGACCTTTTGTAAGGTAAAAGGAAACCTGAGTAATTAGTTCCATAAATCAGCTTTCTTGCTCACTTTCCCCAGTGCCTGTGTTCTAATTATCTGCATTTTGAGGAGATACTTTGAACACACAAGCAACCTGCCATTCTACTGGCTCTAGATATCTAGACTTGGCTCATTAACAAATCTAAGTATCTGCCACAAAGCCAGCCTTTGATAAATAGGGTTTCTAACACGTTTTCATGTAACTAGTAAATCACCATTGGTGGAAAGGAGAACATTAGAATCAGGAAATGTGATTTATTTCTCTCTCAATGCTGTGATTACTGATTGACACATTCAGCCAACATTTATTGAGCACCTACTATGATAGAAATAGCACTTCATTCTGTTAAAAATAATCTGTTTCTTTTAAACTCCCTCAACTAGGTTTTAACACGTAAGTTAATGGTACTTGGAATCAAATATTTTAAAACAAAATATCTTAATCATGTCTCTTTTGCAAGGAAGGTTTTTTTTCTCATTTTAAAAGGATTTTTTTCCTTTTTACAAACAGGATAATCATTTAGCTTGTGTTGTCAACAGATTCATATGAATGTTTCTTATAAATGCCAAATATATAGGAGCAATGTTTTTCTCTCCCCAAATTTCTCCTGAATCTCAGGTTTTTTATCAATTTGCTATTTTGTAGATCCTATTCATCAGTATTTGTTTATTCATAACCATTTCTCAAGGCCTTGATACTTGCTCAGCTCCATATTTTGTGCCCTACTGGGACAGGCTCAAATCCATCTGTGACAAACAGAAGCCTCAAAGAATATATCCAAAGAATAATGTCAACTTTAAAGGTTATATAAATTCCTGGAGCTGTGCCATCTTATTACCTTTCTATTAAAATGTCAACATCTTCTCCTATACTTTTTCACCTTGCACCTTGGTCAGACACCTTTCTACCTTGAGATTAAACTAAATCTCTTGGTTCAGACAACCCTGGAGTCAAACTTCTGCTCAACATCCTGTTGGCTGAATGCCTTTATGGTACTCTGGGCAGTGTTTTCATCTGTAAAATAGGGATAACACTCTACCCACAGGACTGGGTTGCTGTAAGGATTAAATGTAAAGTATACAGCATATGCCTGGCACAGAACAAGCAGCCCATTCTTGTCACCTGTGAATTTCAGACTTGTTTGTATCATTACTCAATAATCATCTTTCGTCCCACCCTGTTAAATTGTTTTAATCAGTGACTATTCAATGAACATTTTAATAAATATATAACACAATCAGGGATGAGTCATAGCACATTGGGACTGCTTTTCAGCATAGATGATTTTAGAAAGGAACTATTCCAACACCATTTCTTCATGTGATCACTGCAGGGTACTCAAAAAAGAAGGGTTTGGTTCTTTCCCGATAACAAAAAATAAGAGAAGATGAAATTACTGTAAGCATCAGTAACTTAAGTATAAAAGATATATGAATATATGGGAATGAAAAATATATATACATATACAGTTGTTTTTTTTTCCACAGAGCCTTTTTACTTTAAGCCCAAACTTGATTCCCAGGTACAGGGCTCTGTAACTTTCCTTGGCATTGAAGTCATGAAGTCTCCTGTCCTCTAAAGCCACAGCAGTCTACAGTGGAAGCAAGCAGCACGCGCTAAGCACAGCACAGTGAGAACCCTGGGGCGTTCGCTGCTGCTCCCACCTGTAGGCCAGGTCATTGTGACGCAAATGCTTAGGACACGTAGAACACCTGCGGGAGAGCAGGGGCGGGGTCACCCTGGGCGGCAGATCCGAGCGGGGTGTACCCTAGGAGATGGGGGTCGAGGAAAGACCCCAGGGAATAGAGAGAGGGAGACTCACTTCCCCCATCCCAGACCCGCCCCAAACAAGGTGAGGCCATCGCCCCCTCCCTCCTCTGGGTCCCTGGGTCTTGCTGGGAGGGGTCGCCCGCCGGGGATTCTTCAAAGGGGAGAAGCGGGGAGGGGAGACGACGGCGGGGCCCCGGCCCCTGGCGCTCGCGGAGAGGCGAGGGCGCCCGCTCCCCCCGGCCACTGCGCTGCGCTGCGGCGCTCACGGGTTCCGCCGGCTGCTATTCCGGCTGGCGGCGACCGCCGCAGGAAGGGCCGGTTCCTGCGCTCCCTCCGCCCCCTTCCCTCGCCTTCTGCTGACGCCGACGTCGGATGAGGGAGCTGGAGGGACGCTCGGATCGCGGCCGGGAGGCTCCTAGGGGCCGAGGCTCCGAGGTACCTGCCCTACGGGGCCGTGGCGAGGGCGAGCTGGGCGGGCTGCAGGCTGCATTGGGAGGCGCCCGGCAGCCGGGGCGGTCGGGGGCCTGGGGCTGCCAGCCCTCTGCGGGCGCCGGTGACAAGCAGGTCGCCTCCTCCTGCCCCCCCTGTCCCTCTGCAAGAACCGCCGCAGCCCCTTCCCCTTCCCCGCCGCCGCCCTGGGGCCTGGGAAGGTCTGGAAGATGCGCGCGCGCCTCGAGAGCGCGCATCAGCCCCGGTGGGGCGCGGAGGGAAACGTTCCGCGCTCCAGCCCCATCTGTGGACCCGGCGTTTGCAGCACCCCCTTCCCCGCCCACCCACCCCACCCCACCCCACCCCACCCACGCCGTGCCTCGCCTTCCCAACGCCTCCGGCCCCAGGACCCCGAGGTCCCTCCAGGGCAGGGACTTGCGTCCGGGGCTGACTTGTTGACGAGTTCACTTGCCGCGGCTCCTGGTGTTTGCTTTTTCTCTTCCTTTTGCCCATCTTTGGCGGAGGTGGCAGGGAGTAGATGGGTACTCTTTATAACCACTAGTACCGGGAGGCCTGAGCTTGATCTCCCGCGGGCGAAGTGCTCACCAACCTCGGACCCGACTGGAGCGAGAGTCCCTACGCTGGCCAGGTCCTTGCAAACCCTGGCGCGCCCGTTTCCTTTGGGTGCTGCTGACACCGCCTTTCCTGCCTCGCGGCTATCGCAGCTCCTGCTTCCTCTAGAAAGGAACATATCCTGTTACTGCGTCTGCCTTTGCCCAGAGCGGCTCCCCATTAACGTTTCCCATTGCCTTTTTACTTGGAGTGCGCCAAAGGCCCCTCAACTTCTCTTTGGGGGTCTTAAAAATAGTGCGTGCGCCCTTTCTCTGGAGAAAGGCATTAACTGGCCGGTTGGGGGAGAGTTCTAGTTCAAAAAGGGAATCAGGTTCTCTTCTGTTTAGATAGCATAAAAAATTATCACGAGAAAGGGTGCTGGGTGGCAGCCTTAGTAACTGAGATCTGGTAACTTTATAAAAATTATCAGGGCCTGGAAAATGTACCACCAGCTGGTTTGAAAATGCTATTGAATGTAGGAAGGAGCTCACATAAGGCATTGGCCGTTAAGGTCCTATAAATTATGACTCATTGCAAACATGTTCATGTCTAAACATTTCAGTAAAGCCTCGCCAGAAAAATATCAGGTTGGTTTCTGTGGACCTTTAGTTTTTCTGAGATCTGAACTGTTCCTTGGGGTGGGGGAATGAAATAGGAAACGCTTATTAGTTTGAAATCTGTGCTCCAGACTCAATTTCTTACCTTCTGTTTAAAACACACATTTTTTACTTTTAAGTGAATTTTCAAACCATTTTTTTTGTTTTTGTTGTTTTAGGTTGCAGTCTTTATTTTTGAAACATCATGTGTAGAGAATACCATAGGGGCAAAATCAGTTTATAATCAATACTTCGATTATCATTGTTTGGTTTCAGACTGCCATGTATATATTTAATTTAAGGAGACGTAGCTTTCTAATTGGATCTTTTTCATTACATAGGTAAAGAGTTGTACTGTTATTAAAGATGAATTTTTAGAAAATGACAGTTAAGCTACTGAGTACTCATTATAATAGTAGAGAGACCCAAGGTTAAAAAAACTGACCTTGGACACTCCATCCATAGGGCATTACATGCTAAAGACACTGGATGGTAAATGCCTAGCAAGTTTATTTTATAGCTGTCTTTGCTTCATTTGGTCCACCTGAGACTCTATCTGACTGCTTTCTCTGAGCATCTTTATTACCATGCATTTCTCTCCACATCAACCTTATGAAATAATATGGACAATTTTGTTACTCAAAAGAAAACCTTCGAAACTGCTGCATTTTCAGTGTATTTGACTAAACAGTACATTTTCTTTTCAGGTGCAGGCAGTTTTATCAGAGGAAGAGAAGTGTGGCAACTGTGAAATGATAAGGCAGGGTAAACCTGTATTGGTGTGAACTTTTAAGTTATAGAAACCTCATACAGGAGAAGGCAGTGAAGTTAATAGGCCACAAGGATCAGGAAGGATTTTTCCTCTTTATTGGTTGAGCCCCACATCTAGAAGTCTGAGGGTAGGTGGCAACGTTTAGGATCAGTGCGCCGGCTACTAATGTCCTTTTTATTCCATCCGCACTATCAGATTTATGGGAACCATGGACAAGGATGCTATCTGTATGTTTTTGTCCATGAGTCAACATAGATCACTAATTAATTAACCTCATTCCCATCCTCACCCCCATCCAGAATCTGCCTCAGCAAAGCCTTTAACTCCAGTACCGATACATACAGGAGGAACATTTTTTTCCTCAAGCTGTCACGTTTTATACCACTATCATTTAATGCCATGGAGGATGGGCAGAGGACAGGTTTTGGATCCCAATAGAGCAGAATTGGAACCCCAGCTGCAACACTTAATTAGCCATGTGACCTTGAGCAAGTTACTTAAGCTTTTTTTCTTTTTTTTTTTTTGCGGTACGTGGGCCTCTCACTGTTGTGGCCTCTCCCGTTGTGGAGCACAGTCTCCGGATGTGCAGGCTCAGCGGCCATGGCTCACGGGCCCAGCCGCTCCGCGGCACGTGGGATCTTCCCGGACCGGGGCACGAACCCGTGTCCCCTGCCTCGGCAGGCGGACTCCCAACCACTGGGCCACCAGGGAAGCCCTACTTAAGCTTTTTAGGTCATTACTTCCTTATCCATAGACCAAGAAAATCCACCTTGTGGGGTTGTGGTGGGAATTAGACATAATATATATAAAATGCTTTTCACAGTAAATAGGACTCAAGCAGTAGCAGTAAATTATTCTTTCACATGCTAAACATATGTGCTGTCTATAGCTGAAAAGAATGCTACTGCCTTTCCTGCATGATAAAGAATCCATTCCAGTTGGTTTTGAGTAGTTCAGGTAATATTGGCACCAATACTGAGAGCTTGGGCTTTATGAAATCCTCCCTGAAGTTAGGGAATGCAATCTGTGGTCGAGGAATAAAGCAAAGCTAATTTGTCCCAGTGGGGGTAGACTTTCCAAACCCCTGCCACTCAAATGTGATCCGCAGACCAGCAACACTGGCTTCCCTGGGGAGCTTGTAAGACATGCAGAATCTCAGCCCGCCCTCCCCCTCTCCATGTCCACTGAATAAGAATCTACATCGTAACAAGATCCCCAAGTGATTCGTGTGTACATTAAAGTTTGAGAAGCACTGTCCTAACCTGGTATTTATCAAACTTTTGTGTCTGATAGAATCATTTGAAGGCTTGTTAAATGTGGATTCCCAGCCTGGATTCTTCCATCTGCTGTTAACACCTCAGGTGGCCCTGATGCTCAGGGTTCTCCCACTATTCTTTCTTTACGAAACACTGCATCAAGCTCTTTATCCAGCATAGTGCCCTAAGATGGACCTTTGCCCTCTTCTTTAACAAAGCATTTTGGCAAACATGATCTTTGCTATTCAGCCTCCTTTGAGGTAAGTAGGTATTATAATCCCTATTTATCTGCTAAGAAAATTAGGACTACAGGCATGATTGGCCCTGGATAATGCATATGGTAGAACTGCCTTGAACCTCTATAAATCCTAGTTGACCATGCTTTCACTACTCTAGCATCCAAATTAATGCACTGTAAGTAATTTCAAATACTAATGAATCTCTCCAGGACACAGATAACTATAAGGCGTTTTATACATTCTTTTTTTTTTTTTTTGCGGTACGCGGGCCTCTCACCGTTGTGGCCTCTCCCGTTGTGGAGCACAGGCTCCGGATGCGCAGGCTCAGCGGCCATGGCTTACGGGCCCAGCTGCTCTGCAGCATGTGGGATCTTCCCAGACCAGGGCACGAACCCGTGTCCCCTGCATCAGCAGGCGGACTCTCAACCACTGCGCCACCAGGGAAGCCCTATATATTCTTTTAAAACAAAGCCTTTCTTCTCTGTGACTGTAGGCCAATTACTTAGGATAAGTAACTGATTTTGAGCTTCATCCATAAAATGAGGATGATGTCCACTGGACAGTGTTGTCAGAATAAGCGTACTATGCACGAAGCATTCATGTCAGTGTCTGAGAAGTGGTAATTCCTCAACTAATGGTAATTACTTGTGTCAATGTAAACCTAGTGAGAGAATGAGTTCATGGAAAGCTGAGAAAATGTCGTTGCTCATGATAGGAAGTCTCTCCTCCTAAGTCAGATGATGTCGTTCATCAGGCCTTTGGCCAAATCAGAGAAGTGGGGTCACTACTGAGTTTTCAGCAAGCATTTGTTATGTGTGTGTTATGTGCCATGCATTGTTCCAGAACTGGGAATCCCAAGACAAGACCCAGACTCTACACTGCTCTGGAGGAGCCTGCAGCCTAGTGAGGGAGTTCAAGGGGTCAGGTGACAATTACATTTCAGGAAAAGTGGGGAGGGAATGAAGCCCAGGGCAGAGGCACCCAACAGGAGAGGAGAGAGAGAGCAGAGAAAACCTGAGAAGGTTTGTGGAGGAGGTGAACCTTGAGTTAAGCCTTAAAGGGCCAGTAGGAATTTGGCAGGTCAGAAAAGGTTGGGAGTGGAGAGAGAGAGTTCACCACACAGTACCCAGGTATACAGAGGGAAAGAATACTGGCAAATAGTCCTCATGCCTGGAGCC